AAATATATATATATTTGTATATTTATGTATGTGTGTGTCTTCATCACTACGCGTATACCTCAAACCAAACAAAAACAAAAACAAAAAACATGATCATTTTGAGCAACTGAAATACTATACATATATTTAAATGTACTTATACACTCTACACACACTCTTTTACAGGAGATCCCCTCTAGACATACATATTTACACAGATCCAGATTCCCAGATCCAGAAACCCCCGTTTGGCCAATCACCAATCCCCCTTCGATATCTAATCTTGCTTTCGTTTTGACTCTGAAATAATATTCTAACTAAATGTCTGCGTAATTGAAAGAAAATGAAAAAAAAAAAAATCATATATAAATGTACCTAAGGAAAACCGAAAAACATATTTTGTGTGCTAGCTAGTAAGTGTCAAAAGAAAAATCATACAAAAATTATACACCATATATTTAAAACAAATGAAAAGGAATGGAAGGGAGAAGCGGTAAATGTCGGTAATATTGTGAACATGTTTAGTGAATTATTATAAAACTTAAATGAAGGGAACTTATGGAAAATAGAGGGAAAAATATATATTTAAACAAGAAATGGAAAAAGTGTAAGCTTCTGTTCAGCGACCTATTCCATCGGTGCTTTTTGAAATGAAACCGATGTGAATTATCTCACCCACGGAAATACTTTTGAAAATGACTATTTCCTATTCAATCGGTTACTATCAGCAGTGGCACAGTGTCATTCTCATAGACACAGAATCAACTAATGAGAGTGTCTACTTTTAAGCATTGGTGGAGAGGTATCGTGAAAAAGCAGCTTTAACAAATATATGTATATCAAAATTATATTATAATTTCCACCAAAAATATTCCAAATTTAAACATTCGATGTGCATAAATGTTGTGGTTTAGTATAAAAAAAAAAAGAATCATAAGGAACAAAAATATTATTGAAATTCTGAATTTGGTATAGAAGAAAAAAAAATGACAGAAAAATAGCAACTAGTAAATTCTCTGCAAATCAAAAACTCTTTATTGTATAATGGAAAAGAAAACTGAGAGGAAAGGATAAGAAAGGGGAAGCGAAGGAAAAATAAATCAAAAGTATTTATTGCTAATTTAATTATATTTGAAGTATACATACATATTTATTATATATACAATACATATATATTAGACACACTATCTGTGATTAATAATCCAAAATTTTGAAGAGCATTTTCTGAAAATCATGTTGGAAAAGAAAAGGAGAAATGAATGAATAATGGATATAAAAACACACACACACGTACACACATAAGAACCCATTGTAGAACAGATCGGATACGAAACCCAAACACACAATAAAACCAAGCTTAAAAAAGCACCGGGCAGGAGAGTCTACTGTACTCAGAAGAGCTCCTAAAAGCTACATCACTAAAGCAGAAAACCGAAACAACCGAGAACAGAGAATGGATCGAAACCGAACCGATTCAAAGCTTATACAGTTGTATATATATTTTGGAATAATGTTTACTAAAAAACTAAAAAAAAGATGTCAAAATAAATAATGCGAAAACAGCAACAAATATCCAGTTAAACTCAAAATTATTGAAAGATAAAGTCATATGTGAGGAAAATCTTTTATAGAGCAAAATTATACAAAAGAAAAGCAGAAAATGAAATACTTCAAACTATAAAAACAAACACATTTATTTTCTTGCAAGAAAAGAAGAATGTGAACAATTTCAGTGTAAACAAAAATCAAACTTAAAATAATTAACAAAACGATAAAGTGCAATTATACGGTTTACATAAGCAAATTTAAGGAAAAAGGACGTTAAAAATATATTATAAAAAAAATAACAAATATAAAACCAATTTCGAAGCATGTTTAGCTAAAAAGTTATTAAAAATCAGTTGAAACAAAATCAAAACATAAAAAACAAGAGAGTAACAAACAAACAAAACAGACAAACAGCTCTAAAACAGCCAGGAAGCGTGATGCGGTTTTTAGCTCGATGTCAATAGAACTATAGCGGAATTTGTAAGGGCCTTTCTATGTTTTCTAAACACAATGTGAAAGTGCAACTACTATTCAGAGCTTGCCCACTGACTTAACGAACTAAAACGCATTGTATGCCTTCGATATTACTGTGTGTCTGATCCGAACAGAGATCGGAGAACACAGCACTGCGAAAGGCTAACAAACGTAAACTATACCTTACCAAGAACAAGAAATAGCAACAGCAACAGCAACAGCAACAACAGAAATATAAACAACATCAGAAGCAGAAAAACATAAGCCGAGTCGAAAGACGAAATGTCAACCTAGTGGTAGGTCTAAAACAGAAACAAAAACTAAAAAAAAACAGTCTAATGTAATTGAGTGACAGCTTGAGAATGTTGAATTGTATAGAATTTTTGCATACCCACCTGCGTTAAGGCGTGGAGGGGCGCGTGGCACCTGTCCACACAGATCCCCCCCTCCCCTTGGGCATGCGAAAACGCTCAGGTACGTGTTTTATTTTTCGGAGAGAAAAAAGATTGATTACCCATACACATTACTTATTCTTTGTTTTACTACAACATAATAGTTAATATCTGTGTAAAAAAAAGGGAGTAGGAGGAAAACTAAAACCAACTTTAATTTGATATATTAATTTATGAATTGTTTAAAGTGGTTTATAAACAGACAAAGGAATAGAAAGAGAGAGATAGGGAGAGTTTCTAGCGTGCTAATGAAATTGCTCACATTTGTGTATAAAATATTATTTGTTTTAATGCGAATCAAAATTTGCTGAATGTAAGTGCATATACGAAACATACATACATTTGTGTATGAATTAGAGCCTATATTGTTTGCGTTTAGTTTAGTGCATAAAAGGATTAAGATTAATGATTATCTAAGCCTTAGGCAAATTCGAAATTTCTGCTTATAAACCAATCAATCAACATCTTTTGTAATCATTATAATAGTTATTATTATTGTAATATTGTTAGCCTCGATTTATGGTTTGTATATATTAGACAACATTTATTAATGGTACGAGTAGGAGAAGCAGAGTATTCTTAACCACCCCTGCCCTTTTTTAAACAAATTATTACCCTGTGTTCTATATATTGATTTCTTAAATGGGCAAAACATCATTTGAACTATAGTGCAATTGTTTCAAACAAAAACCAAGCAACACCAACAACCAATACTATATTAAACATTAAAGATTAATATAATTAAAGAGCTTTCTTTGCCAAAACATGCCAAGAATGTGAATGTATATGGATCGTATGGATCCGAGAATCAAAAATCATTTTAAGTGCACATATTTACCTTTTTTTGTTTTTAAGACTATCTATCTATGACTAAGTTTTCCGATTTCTATGCGCACGACTTCCATATGAAGAGTAAAACAAAAACAGACATCACATAAACTCAAAAGTTCTCTTCTAATATTTTCTTTCAACTTGAGCGACACAACACATAACATCGTAAACCTGGTACAAATCAATCAAGTGAAATAAATTAAAGCAAAGATCATGAAACAATAGCCCAGCCGAGACAACAACCAGCAAATACAACCACCACACACACAATAGCCCAGCCAAGACAACATCCAAGATCAATAGACCCCAAAAAAATAATTGAACTAAAAATTGCAAGCAAAAAAACAATTACAACCAGATATAATTAAATGCTACATAAAAACAAAGAGGAAGCAGCCATGCAGCCTAAAGTCGATTGTACTTTTCTTTTTTCTACACACATAGACAGAACAGCAACAGCAGAACAATTTTATTAAACAATAGTACTACTCTTACAACAAAACTTAAAATAGCCACAGATAAATAGAAATAGCCACAGCAATTAACTTAAAGCAGAGACACAGCCACAGCTACAGGAGATGCATATGCAACACACATACAAACAAACAAAACGTTTTTTCATAGCCACATAACCAGTAACCAACAATAGCCACATAATTAGAGAAACAAACCCGAGGGATTACATAGATCGAGCCAATCATCCCTACAATAGAAAAAAGAAAAAAAATTACAAAATAGAGAGATTGCATATAATATATGTAATTCGGATTCCAGCAATAGACAGCAAAAGACAGCCTCAGAAAAAAGAAAGCAGCACAATATCGAACTGCAACAAAGGCCAGCAGACTACAAATTTCATATAAATAACAAATACATCATTAAAACAAAAAAACAATTTTTATTTCAATTATTAACTCTTAAATCTCCACAACAATTACAGTTACAACCATACAACCACAACAACAATAGCCCTAGACAAATACTAACCATAATTAATCAGCAGAAAACCAACAATTTCAAATGTTAGTGATAAGTAAATTGGCATACAAACAAACAAACAAACTAAACTTAAATCTTAGCCAGGCAAAAAGTTTTGAGCAACATTTTTCATTATTTTGAACACAAAGAAAACTGAAATAAGTACAACTTTATAATTACAAATGTTTGGGTAAACAACAGAGAAAAACAACTAATCTTTGTGCAAAATTAAGTTAAAAAAAACACACACACTTTTTTTTAAAGGAAAACCACAGCCAATAAGCATATGAAAAATATAAGATTTCACTTATAATTAGCAATAGCCCATAAGTGCAGAAAGAAAAACAAAACAAAAACAGTGTATTTAGCATTAAAAACAAAGACAGCAAAGAATATAAAATAGAAGTAACAAAAACTTAAGCAAACTTTAGTTCTGCATTGAAGAAACAAACAATCCAAAATATGTTTAATTTGATAAGTAATTTATACAATTTAACTAATGAAATTTCGCATAATTTGATCTACATACATAAATTATAAATGTAAAATTTTAATTAATATATTTAAAGAGAAATTGTTATAAAAAGAAAAACACATTACACTTTAAGTTTATAATTTTCGTTATTTTCTATTATTTACTTATTATGTTTTAAACGCAAAAAAAATGATCGATTTATATATACAATATATATTTACGCATTAAACGTTTATTAATAAAACAAAAACACAATAAAAAACAACAATATTTTAGTTAAAAGTTTTACGTTTTTTAATTGAACTTTCTTACCACCACAGGAGGCTTTAATTTCATATTTAAACGATGAGAAACCAAAAAAAAACAATTACAGAATATATAAGTGAAATATGCTATAGAAAATTAAGCACAGTCTAACATCTGCAACCAGATATCTATTACCATTATATGCAATAGTTTTAAACGAATAAAACAGAATAAAAAACAACTAAATAAGCAATAGCCCAAAGTAAATATTGGCCATGATTAGCCTGTCATTGGCCCAACAAGGCCAATATTTTCTCCATTTTCACTTGCAAAAGATCAGCAAACAACCAATTGGCACTAAACAACAATCAGAACAACCAACAGAACAAGCAGAACAACAACCAATGGCAATTGAAACATAATTTCTTTCAGTTGATTGATTATATATAATTTCCTATATTCAGTTCTTTAGTTGACTCTCAAGACTTTCGAAAACTGTTTTGGCGTACACCTAAAATCAATAAATAAAAGAAGTAACTATCACGGACGAGCCAAAGGAATCGTATTTCTAAACTCAAAACAGCTTCAGGGACCAACTAAAAAAAGAAAGGATAAATGATTTAAAACAAGAAATGAAAAATATAACAACAAGTAATAAAGAACAACTGGTAAATTAACTAAAATGTAAAGACATGGCATAAAATATTTAACGTATTTACGTAAAATTAACATTTCCAGGCATATCTAAAAGAAAACTAAGAAAAATTCAAATAAAAACGCATTCAAAATTATGAAAAAAATGCATATGCATGTACATATATACAAGAACCCCAAAAACCTTTGGTAAGCCATATACATCTTAAATATATTTAAGCGTGTCAAACAAAAATTAACCAAAATCAGATAGGTACTTCAGGCAAAATCATTTCGGAAGGTAAAAATTCCACATACATTTAAGGCAAAAGTGTATACGATGTGCAAAAGAAATTTAAACTAAAAGTGGATTAGGTGTATAAGATATACATACCTAGATATTTGGCTAAAAACATAAACCCTATGAAAACCTAAGAAAGGAGATCTAATATGGAGGAGAAATTATCCGTTCGCTTTGGTGTAACGTTTTGTGTAAATAACGTATGATTTTCTGAAGGAAGGAAACTAAAAGAAAGACAAGAAACCATTAATCCATTAAAACAAAAATGAAAGTAAATTCAAATTAGAGAAAATTTTTGTCAACAATTAAAATGACCTAGTAAATGCTAAATTCAAATTTATATAGTACATATGTATATATGTATGTACGAGTATACATGTGTATGAAGTGTATTGCATAAGTTCGATGTGAGTATATAAAGATGATTATTAATATTATACTTACCCTATAATTTCCAAGTTATTTTGTTGGTAACAAAAGAGGAAAAACCAATGCAAAATTTAAACCCAAAACTAATGATATTCAAAGCCAATGACGAGAAACAACAACAATAAATGTGCTGATGTGCTGAAAGCCGCAAAGAGAACGACAACCAGATGGAAACAATTTGATTCCTTTCAAATGTTTAGCTAACACAATACCAACAATAATCGATGGAAAATTCATTGTAAAAAAGTATAAAAGCAACACGTAATGGGGTGGCAGATGAACAATTGCTAAAACGAACAGTTACGATCTGTGTAAATGTGAACATAATGAGCAAAAAACGATATAGCAGGTATACAATAATGGCCGAATGAAACCAAAACTAAAGTAATGAACAACTTACCGCAAGGCGACAAAGCAAATACAAAACGCAAATGACACAAAAGAAAAACTATTAACTTGTAACGATGTGAACTTGGAGCATACTTTCAGTATTTTTATGAATACTGTCAATAAAAATTAATAAAACATAAGCTGAGACTTTAATTCTTTAATTGGGGGGGTGCCATGGGCAATACTTATACTATGTATTTACAATCCCGACTTACAACCTTCAAAAATCTCCACAACCTAAATATTGCCCTATTTCCAAACGAAAAGTTGGCTGTTCCTTTGAACAATGAACACTTCAATTAAATGAAGTGGAAACTCATCACATAAATTCTACTTTCGACAACACCAGATGGAATTCAAAATATAAAATAATTCTAGTAACCAAAATTGTATAAAATTTCGAAATTTCGGATCCTAGAGACAGCTTGAAACAAAGCTTTTCCATGATCAAGAGATTGAAGTGCGACCTCAGTCCGGAGCTGACCACATGTCTCAGGTTGGCGGACAAAGATCGATCCGATTGTTGCCGGATCCAAGACCCCATTCCGTATGATGGCGAGTGCTTCATGAAGGACATTGGCAATGAGCTGTCCAATCTCTATCGTCGCCATGAGCGCATGTTCGTTAAACGACGGCGGATCATGGAGATGGCCCTGCCCATTCGCCGACGTTGTCGCTACGTGCCCAAGTGCCCCTGTAAGTTTAGCAAGAAAATCGAGATGGTTCGCACCGACCAGCCCAGCTACACGCGCACGGAGCAGCTGGCACTGCCCACAGTGCGGCGGCTACTCAATCGCAGGCAGCTCGCCATCAGCACGGGCGATACCATCGGCGAATCCATCCTGAATCGGCTGCTCCGCTATAGCTATCTCTCGCTCTACAGTCGTTTGACCAACATACAGCCACTGAAGAAACCGTAAGCATCCCATAGTCCCTAGACCGCCTGATACTTAACCCGCCACTTTCAGTGTTAAAAAGAAGAAAAAGTCGAAAAGGCAAAAGGCTCGGCAGAACAAGTTCTTCGCAAAGATGGCCGTCCCGAAGGTGGTGCCGAAACCACCGAAGCTGGTAAGTCTCATCCATTTGAAAGGTAATAGCTACAGTCTAAACTGGTTTCCCCTTTTTCGACCTTTTCGCACCACCCAGGAACGACAATCGAAGGAGATCAGTCCGGGTCGGCTCAAGAAACTGTCGCGTCCCAAGCGCTACGTGGAGGAGGTCAAGCCCCAGTGGGAGCTAACGGAAACAATGCGCAAATACAAGCCAACCAAACGTATCAAGATTATGGCCAAGCACCACGAGCGCGAGAATGTACACATCAACGAGAGTCCGGAGAAAGTGTCGCCCAATGCACTGACTTACAAACGTGGGTTTGCCATAATCCTCTACTTTTTGTCACTTTTTGTCACTTTCTGATGTTTTATGTGTTTCCAGCGAGTGCCCGCATCAAGGAGATGTCCCAGCCTCTAACAATGCACGAAGCGAATACGGTGCCGGCGGACATCAAGGAAAATCCCTTTGCCATCGCCCCGAATGCCCTCAAGTACAAGGCCACGTCCCGCATGAAGGAGCTGGCCGAACCGAAGGAGTTCGAGAACACCCACATACGCGAGAATCCGTTTGCCATCTCGCCGGCGGCGCTCAAGGCCAAGGCCACGCCACGCCTCATCGAACTGGCCAAGCCCAAGGGCGGCTAACGATTATCCCCAAAAGTATTTCCTTTTTCTGGCCTTTTATCTTCGTTTCGATTCGTTTGGTCAACTCTCATTTAGGATTAAAAGTTTATTTATCCCCAATTACTCAATCAGGACAATGACAGCTCACAGGGAACTGGAAAGGATCGGGATCCTGGTGATCCTGTCACCATTTCCAGTGCACTGTGCACTGCCATTAGACCGGTAGACTTTCTTTTTCTTTTCCGCTGCGGCTGCGCAGCTGCCTCGGCTGGGCCAGTTTCTCCAGACGCGGCGTCAGCTTGGCCCTCATTGCCCTACGTCGTACTGTGTAGGGCTTTCGCCTGATCGTGCCGTCCTCCCGCAGCTTTGGCGTGGCCAGGTTCTTCAGGCGCGGAGTTGGCTGGCCGAGCAGTCTTTTTCGAATCGGTCGGGATGGGGTCTCCAGGGATACATCGACTATCGGTGTTTTCTTTTTTGGCACTGCCAGCAGGTTAATGCGCTCAGTGGCTATAAAGGAATATTATATCTTGGCTCTTAGTTGAAAGATGTTAAGGCTTTTGCTTACCTTTGTATGTCAGTGCCCGCTGAGGCACACCGAAGGGATTGTAGACCTTCCGGACGAATGGTGTCGTGCTGCAGGCCAATTTCAGTAATCGTTCGCTGGGCTGAAAGGTCCGCATCGACCCGGTAAGATGCCAGGGCTGCTTGGCATTCAAAATCTTGGGCGGCTGCTTGCTTGGTCTTGAGGGGTGTGAGAAGGATTTGGAATATAAATTCGCAGTGGATTCCATTGGTGAGACTTTTCTGTTAATGCTACAGCGAGCGCAAATGGATACGCCTAGCCGGGCCTCTTCCCGTGGGGGTGCATAGCTGAAAAGGTCCCTCAAGTGATCGTTTATAGCGTCCGAAACTATATCCTGATAATTACTTACGACTTCTTGTACGGAGCACTGAACGCCTCCGAGTGCTGCGATGTGTGATATTTGTAGAGTTCGTCCAAAAACTGTGTACAGTACTTGTACAAATTCTCGCCTTGCTTGTGCCATGGCGCCCGTGCTGGAAGTCTTTTTTGCTGAGTCGTCAACTTGTGGCCGGAGGGAGCCTGGATGTGGCCACCACTGATTCCACGTTGGTGCGACATAACACAGAACAACCAAAAACAGAATCTCTCGAGTTTTGTTTTTTTTTTTTTGTTTGTTTCTTTGTTTTACTTAAAATTTAGACAGCTCTCAAACTGACACAATGGCGTTTAAATAATAATTAATGTAGATTTGAATTTATTGTTATATCTCTCGTGCTCTATGTCGGAGCCTCGATTAGGGCGGGGGGCGGACCCACCCTAAGCGCTTGCTATCACTTAAATTGCTTTAGCGATATCATCTGTGGTTATTCTTGTAACAATTTGCAGGGGGGAAAAATAATACATATTACAGCATAATCGGGGAACAATCGGCCAATCGGTAAAACTAAGGGATAAGCAGGACGGGGCGGAGCCGGTATTGGACTAAACTTAAATATTCGCCAGAAATAATACTCATTGAAAACATGCCTGGAGTGGGGGGAGGGACAAATAAGGCAACAGCATACTGAGGGAGGGATAAACTAAAAACGAATGCAAATCTTATGTTCATGTTAACAAATCAAATTTCGCTGCGGCAACAACACACAAGGAGAAACTGTCTATTGTCTATATAATAAGTGCGTGCCTTGGGGGCCAATGTTGTTGCCTGTTGCTGAGGATTTGGAGTCCTGTGCGGATCGATCTTTGCCTGGATCCAATCTCTAGTGCAGATTGGCAATGACGGCGCGGGTAAAGTCCATTGTGGTGGACTGTCCACCCAGGTCCTTGGTGCGCACCTTTCCGTCGTTTAGCACCTTGTTGATGGCATTGAAGATGACCTCGCTGTAGGTGGGCAAGTTGATGTGGCGCAGCAGCTTCACGCCGCACAGCATCATGGCCGTAGGATTGGCCACATTCTTACCCACGGCGCCGGCAAAGGTGTGACGTGCACCCTAAGAGACACACAATCAAATCATTATTCCGAAATAAAATCATCAAGGGAGACTTACAGGCTCGAACACAACCGTCTCCGATGAGTAGGAGGCACCAGCAACCACACCAGCACCGCCCACCAAACCAGAGGCCAGGTTATCCACAATGGCACCATACAGGTTGGGGGTTACCATCACATCAAACTGATTCGGGTTGGACACCATCTGCATGGTCGTATTGTCCACGATCATCTTCTCAAACTGGATGCGGGGATACAGCTTCGATACGTCCTCGCAACACCTCAGGAAGAGGCCATCGCCCAGCTTCATGATGTTGGCCTTGTGCACGGCGGTGACCTTCTTGCGCTGGTTCTTGGTGGCATAGTCAAATGCAAACTTGGCGATGCGCATCGACTTCTTGGCAGTGACGATCTTCAGGCACTCCACAATGCCGGGCACCGATTCGTGCTCCAGTGCAGAGTACTCGCCCTCGGTTTGCTCACGGATGATTACCGTGTCGATGTTGGTGTGTCGCGTCTTGATGCCGGGCAAGCTACGCACGTGCACCACATTGGCGTACAGGTCCAGATCGTTGCGCAGCTTCATGTTCAGGGTTTGCAGGTCGCCCACATTGCTGTAATCGGGAGTGGCCAAAATACCCTGCGATAAAGAAGAGAGTAATGCCATAATCATCTCGAGATTTCCTCGAATTAACAGGAACGGGACCCACCTTAATGCAGACTTTGTTCTTCTGAATGGAGGCCACCACATCCTCCAGCTTGGCACTCAGTACGGGGTTGATCTCCGACAGAAAGTACGACTCGAAATCCACGGGCACATTAGCTGCCTGAGAGCAAAAAGGAAACTTGGATAGCACACATTTTGAGAAAGGACAAGGAGAAAGCTTTACCTTGAAGACCTCCTGCAGGGCGTAGACGATCTCGGGACCCACACCGTCGCCGGGAATCAGTGTACAGGTGGTCCTATTGGCTCCATAGGTAGCATCCTTTAATTTGCTGCCTGTGCGAACATCATTGAGGGTCGATGAGGTGTGCACACCACGTGCAGCCGCTGCCTAAGGATTCAAAAAAAATCAATTAGCCAAACTTCTTGATAATATTTTAACCTCAAATACGGGCATCTTGATATTCGCACTCAGTGCCAGCGGCAGCAGCAGCCACCGCAGCATAAGTAGAATCGGCGGGTGGTGCTGCTGGCCAAGTGTTTATGTAAGAGCTAGCTCGAAGCGGGGAGGTTTACCTGCAAGGCGGTGCGTCCTAGGGTTCTGGCCAGCATTGACATGTTGCTCGATAGCTTTCGCGTTACGACAGTTGTGTGGGCAAATTTCAACAAAAGGCTAACGCACTCGAAATTTTGGAAGAATTTTTATTGTAACCGAAAATTTCAATAAAACCAATCGACCAGCTGATGGTGCGACCGTGGATTTATCGTTCAAATATACCGCCTGACCCTCAGAAAAATACCAAAAACTAACATCTCAATTTCAAAATATACCGAGAAAAAAACGAACTTAGCCCCATACACCCTCTCTTTTTAAATAAGTGGAACACCTTGATATTTCCTAACTCGTTCCTTAGTTAATAACTCGTTCCCACGATACCTTAGACATTAACTGCACTTTAATTCATTCAGTTGTATTACATACTTATCTGTATTTAAAACCGCCCTGGGCGTCAAGGGGCTAACGTTTGTATTTGTTGATCGGAAATCACATTCGCTGTTATTGATATTCGGTTTAATATTACCAGTTATCGAGCATTTTCATCACTGAATATATAATTTTGTCAGATAGATGAATCAATTTTCTACAAGAAAGGCTATTATTAATTACTCCGTTTAATAGGATTCTTAAGGTTAGAGAAATAAACCGTATCCGTATCCGCTTGAACAAATACCAAAAACAAGACCACCCGATAGCTGCGCGCATGCGAAACATTTGGTAGTCGGTTGAGTGGCTTAAGCGGGATATTTGAAAGAGGGGAAATTATAGTTGTGTGGCGCTCATCTTTAGAGAATAAAGTTATATATCCTATATGGAATAAAACAATTGTATTTGTCTCGGTTAAGGGTTGCTTGATTGAATTATCCTTCAAGAGAATGGCCCCCAAATTGAGGATCCTACTGCTCATGTCCTTTCTCTAAATATAATTGGTATAATTGAAGCTAAAACAATCGTTTACAAATATATATAAGTGATCTTTTGTTTAAAGTGTGTTCTCTTGTAGGAATTTTACATATTGCTGGCATCTTCTTTATCTATTATATTTTTTTTAGCTCCTGAACTAAAAACAAGTCAATCGGTTTTGGTTGGAGGGTGGGGAACATAATCTACAAATACAGAAGACCGCTGGCGGCGGCATGGGACATCAGTGTGTTGGCCGCCTGCTGCATCTCCAGCATGAGGCGGACCTCCTTCATCCATTCGCCAGCGACCTTGCGTGGCGCACCCTGGAGCAGGTTCAAGTACTTCAAGGCCAGCAGGAAGTTGCTGCGATCCACGTAGTACCTGAAACACCACAAATTCAATAAATTTTATTTAAGAATGGTCCAACGACGGCCTCACCTGGCCCTGTTCAGTATGTCATAGGTGTCCAATTTGCTGTAATCGAAGGGTTTGTTGTCGAGTTCGTCCGTGGATATGGGATTATCAGCTCGCATTATAAAGATCGACTGCAGATAAGACATAACATAGATGGGCAGACTGGCCCCCTCCTCGGGCACCAAGGCTAGCCTCCTGGCCACACGTTCCACGTTGAGGAAACGCTCGCGCAGCGCGTCCTCGGGATAGACACCGCGCTCTTGGGCCTCCATTGGCATGCTCTCCAACACAGCCGCCACCAGATCGTCTCCCTCTGCAAAGGTTTGACGATAAGAATAAACGGATTCAGTTCAGTTGATTGAAACTTACTTGACACCTTGGCAATGGCATTGATTTCGTTCTTCAGTGGACGCAGCTTGTCTTTGTAGCTGACGCCTGGGGTGGCATTGCGGACAGAAGCCCACAGTGCCTGGCACGCAGCCCACAAGGCCTGCGACTGGTTGGCCGTACGCTCGGCATCGGCGCGATCTGCGAAATAGAAAACAGAAGTGGATGTTAGCAGAGTACTTAAAGCTTTCTCACTTAAAGCTGTCTAACTGCGGGTCAGGTATACCTTGAAACTCGTCCTCTATCTCTACACAAGCGCAGCATGATTCAAAGGATTAAACAAGGTTACATTTCTAGCCGGGAAACAGGGAGCTAGCCAAACCCAAGCCCAAGCCCAGGACACCCCACAACGCTCGAAAAACTCACCCGCGAGAGCAGCATCCATGCCGCGCAGCTTGCCCAGCATTGTGGCCAGCTGCAGCTTGTAGTTGGCCTTCTCAGTGGCCAGCTTGTCATCCAGCTCACGCTTGAAGCTGCGCGTCAGATCCGACTCGCGCTGGGCCACAATGTCCTTGATGTGATCGGCATGGGCCTCGGCTTGCTTCTTGAGCTGCAGACGCAGCTGCTTATCGGACTCGGCATGGATGTGGAAGATCTTCTTCTGGTTCTCCACAGCCAGCTTGCGTCGCTCCGCCTCCAGATGGTAGTCCAGCTGGGCGCGCAGAGCCTCCGAATCGTTGTCGCCACGCACCGAGTCGATGGCCCGCTTGAGACGCAGCTCGCCGTCGGTTTGCAGGCGCTGCAGCTCCTTCTGGTAGGCCAGGACATGGGTGTAGGCGTGAAGAATGAAGAGATCAAAATCCTCCTTGGAGAGATTGAGCTTCTTATCGGAGAGCCGAAGGCCGGGGAAGATTGCCTCGATTTCATCGATGAAATAGTTGCGAGCCTGTTCCACGTTGCGCCAGTACTTGTCCGACACACTGGCCGTATCCTTGTGCCTATACAACTCATCCTTGACGTTGGCAATATGATCCACCAGCTTCTTGATCTTGTTGCGCACAGTCTCCACCTGCTTGTGGTTCTCTGCCGTGGCCACTCCGCTCAGGGCAATCTCACAGGCCACTGTCCAAAAAAAAGAGAGCTCTGTCATTCATTTGATACAAACTTTGTTGATCATTTAACTCATACCGATCTTCTCCTGAGCCTCGCGCGCTGCTTTCTCTGCTGTGGCAACGGCTGTGTCCCGGGCACTGGCACGGTTCCTCAGAGTTGTCCAGAGCGTATTCTCGCCGGTCTCCACAGCCCTGTCGACCACACGACGCACATCCTCATTGAAGCTGCAAAAGGAAATTAGTCAGTCTCAAAATGGAACATTCCCAGTCATTAGTTTTAATCACCCCTTGAGCACGGCAATGGCAGCATTGTATTCCTTGACTGCCAGCTTGGCCGACAGCTCAATGGCCTTCTCCAGCTCGACGACCTCATTGGGCAGGGGTTGGGTGGCTGCCTTTGGTGCTGGCGCTGGCGGCGCTGGAGCTGCTGCGGTCTTGGCAGTTTTCGCTTCAGTTTTGGCTGCTGGCGCAGGGGCATGTTTCTTGACCTCGGGAGCTTCGCTCTTCAGAGGCTGAACCTTGGGCTCCGGGCTCTTGGGCTTGTCGCTGCCGCTGCTGCTGCTGCTGCTGCTGCCACCGCCGAACAGACCCGTCACCTTGGAGGTCACAGAGTTCACTGAGGAGCTGACCGTGTCGTAGCCCGATTTCACCTTGTCGATTTGTTCGTTGACACTCTGAGTGATTCCCTTGAATGGTGGTTCCTCCTGAAGAGCCACTTTGATCACCGCCTCGGCCCCGGGCACTTTCTTCTCCACCATTTTTCGGAAGTCATCGTCGTACCTGCACGAAGTAACTCTCTGTATTGAGGTGTACACAGGATTGTGGATTCCACAGATACTCACTTGGCGTAGGTGATTACACCGCCGACAGCAGCCAGGGGAGCGACTAGGACTAAAAACTTGCCGAAGCCAGCTTCTCGCATATGTGGCGGCGGTGGTAGACCATGTCCATTTTCTTGTCCGCTTCTGCTGCTGCTTCCCTCCCTTCTGCTGCTGCTGCTGCTGCCGCTGTTGCTGCTGTAATGCCTGCCATTTGTTGTTGTTTGCAGGGAGCGCTAACAGAAACAAAAAGTAGTGGGGCAAGAGGTACGGCACTATAAATTTCGTTACTTTTAGCACACCCACGAGGCGTGACCAGCCACTACCGTCGACCCAGAGCCTTGGCAACCCCAGCTGGAGCCGAGTTCAGCTGGAATTTTTGGCATTTTCGCATATTTCCTGCGTTTGGTAGATGACATAACCAGCGCTTCTTGTATATTTTGCAATTGGCTTGTTGGTGGGCGTGCGGGGAGCAGGTCGGGGCAACGGCACGGTCGGTGCGGGGCAACGTGACGATTGATTTTCGTCGGTGTTATCACATAACTTACCTGCAAGGCGCACTTGCACTGATCTCGAACCGCTAGCCGATACATGATTTTATTATGGAATTTTGTTTAATTTCGCTCTAGCTTGGTGCTGCCCCTGCTCCAGTTTTATGGCCGGCGGCGTGAATTAATTTTTCCTGCCCGATTCTCGCAACGTTCAATACTGGCCTCTGGGCTGGTTGCTCGGAGTGTGCGCGTTGGTTGGTGAATGGCAAGCGGCGACAGTGAAGCACAGGCACTCTGTTTGAAATGTTGCTCTTCTCCCTACAATTTTCAGGGCAGTACTACAATTTTTAATATTTTTTTTAATATTTTAGTATTGTCATAAAATCAAATCAAATATTAGCCGAAAAAGGATCGAATGAGATAAACTATTTACAGTTAAAGGCATCCTTCGTTGTGAATAGCAAACAGCTGATTGGATTGGTGTTACGCGACGATTGACTGGCGGAAGGAAAATTTTCCATTAATTTTGGGAATTGTCCGTTTTTTGTATTAACCAAGGAAAATGCTTCGAACCCTACTCACAGGCGGTAAGTCCAGATGATCACAATTGTTATAAATGCTCTAATTTCCATGTGTGGTTCGATCTATAGCCCTGCGTGGAGTGTGTCGCGTTCCGCCGGTTGCGTCGCTGGTGCATCAGACACAACGTGCCTGCTTTGGCCAGCTAATGACAACAGTTCAGAAGCCCAGCCTCCTGTCCGCCCACACACTAACACCAGCCTCGTTGAAGCTTCTTCAATTGCCCGCTCTGGGAGCTGCAGGATCACCGCCGCACGTACGCAGCGTTACCAAATTTTCGCTCATCAAGGGCAAGCGCAAGACGGTGAAGGCAGTGCTAAAGCGTTTCAAGCGTCTCGACTGGGGCGCCTGGATCCGCACACACTCCGGGCGGCAGAAGAAGCTGTTCAAGAAGTCCAACGCCCTGCGACGCCGATTACGCCAACATGTCTTCACCAATGCTTCCCAGAGCTGGCTGCTGGACAAGATGGTCACAAACTTCTGGCGGCGACCCAAGCACTACGTCGACGATCCGTATGCGCCGTACCACAAACGCGACGAGTACTTTGCCACCAAATCGAAACAGTTCAAAGTTTAAAACTTGATTAAATGCAATTATTTCGTTACACACATAACAATTATAACAATTGACGGGATGTCATTATGGATTTAGGATGCCACAACCTTGTTGGTCATTGTGCCCAGACCAACGATCTCCGATTTGATGACATCGCCCGCCTTGAGGAACTCTGGCGGATTGCGGTGCATGCCCACGCCTTTGGGGGTGCCCGTGACAATGATGTCGCCAGGCAGCAGGGTTATTGTCTCCGTCAATCTATTGATAACATCGTCCAGCTTGAAGATCAGGTTGCCCGTGTTGCCGTTCTGCTTTTCAACGCCATTGATCCATGTCTTCAGGTTCAGATCGTACACATTCTTGACCAGACTCTTGTGCACAACCGCGGGTCCCAGTGGTAGGAAAGTGTCCATCGACTTGCCAATCAAGAACTGGCCTCCATTGCGCTCCTTCTGCCAGTCGCGGGCCGAGATATCCTGGGCGATGCTATAGCCAAAGACATAGTCCATTGCCTGGTCCTTGGGCACATGGCGGGCGACCTTGCCAATGACACACACCAGTTCCACCTCCCAGTCGATTTTCTGTCAAGATTAACATGGAATTTTCCCTCTTGTATTCTTCTGTTATCGGAGGTTATCTGCTGACACTCTACATACTTCACTCGACTTGTGGGCAATAACATTATCAGTGGGCCCCACCAACGTGTTGTTGAACTTGCTGAAGAACATCGGTTCCTTGGGTGCCGGCTTGTTCTGCTCATCGCAATGGTCCTGATAGTTCAGTCCTATGGAAATTTCCACAATACAATCACACCTTAGAACTTATCTATGTATGTATGTAGTTTCTCCATACCTATGCAAATGATCTTGCCGGGATCGGTGAGGGGGGGCAGCAAAGTGACATCATCATTCAGCGCCAGAGTGGGCTGCTTTTGCACCTTCTTGGCCAGCTCTTCAATGTTCGGGTTCTGGGCAATTAACGTCTTTAGATCGTTGGGCACTCCCTCCACTCCTGCCAACTCCACCAACGATTTCTGATCGTCGGCGAGCAGGCCAAGGCGCTTAGCCAGGTCACCCTTGCGCAAATATTGTACGAAACGCATTCTGGCAGCTAACATTTATCACTGTACGTCACCACTTGACTACCCCAGCCGAACAATAATGATCTTTTTTATAAATTTACAAAAAATATTAATGATAAGACCAGTGCAGTGTGACCGCGGATTCGATACAATATACCGATATATCATTAGTATACCAAGGAAAAAACAAACAGCCCATTCAGAGAAGGTATATTTAAAAGGATTAACAATTTATATATATTACTGTTGGGGAATACCATTCTCGTTTATATATTGATACATCGCTTTACCTACAATTTTGTAAGTGTGTGGATGGATCAGAAATAATCGGAAATCATGAAGTACGACGAGTAATACATCATATGCCCCATTCGAATGAAAGGCAATTATTTTGAACTTGTTTTCGATGTTTACTAATTCAATTATTAATAAAGGATTCCAAAAAGAATAATATTATTAACCTTTATAAAATTAATTTGATTATTTACAACCTAAAAGCAGCGGTAAGCACTTACTTTTGAAATTCATTAATTCAGCCCAATCATCGATAATATCGATATTTACGTCAATGTTTCTCCAGCCCTAAATAAAAGCATAAAAGCAAAAATAAATAATAAAAATCCCAATGTTATGGACCTTGGAGCAGGTGGAGGGCATGCTAAATGTCCTCAAACACTCGACAGATCGAACTGTTGTGTACAAGTGCCTGGTTAAGTTGCGCACAGATCTGGTTAAAGACAAGGATGGAATAGTTTTGTTTCGTACAGCTGGTGGCGTTCCCATAATGGTAAGTTTGAGAGTCACCGTAATGTTTGATGGCCACTGGCATCATAGTCGATGGCTTTAAAAATTCAACAACCAAATTTCGAATTTGTTTTTTTGAAGGTTCGTTTGATAACCAAGCTAAATGAAAAGATCATGGAAGTGGTTCTGAGTATATTGGGAAATTGCTGCACTGACGAGCAGGCCTGCATTGAGGTAAGACCATCATAGAGTCTCTTAAATATAACTTCTAATGATCTCCCTCGCAGGCTGTCGAGTGCAAGGTAATCTCTCCCCTGGTTACTATTTTGAAGACAATACCCAATCCTGTGATTCAATGCCGCGCCTGCCGAATGCTGGGCAATCTGGCAAAGAGCAAGAAGGCATCGCAGTTCCTCAATGTGCATTATGCTGCGATTGCTCCGGCCATTTGTCACATCATTGAATCCACAAGTTCTGTTCAGACGAGAATTATGGCATTCCGCGTTTGTCGCTTCCTGCTGGTCAGCAGTCAGTTCCTTAGACATTTTCTTGCTGCAAACGGATTCCTGCAGATGATGCGGATTTTTGTGGGTGTCATGAAGAACACCGAGGCACCCAAGGAGCAACCAACCCAGGACATTGAGGTGTCGGCGCTGATGGGCCTAAAGCGGAACCAGCATCGCGAGAAATACTTCGAGGAGGTGGCCCGCAATCTGGAGGGTGTGCGAAGCGATATCTTCGACCACCAGATGTTAAAGTACTCGACGCGAAACTGCGACTATGTGCTGCCCAAGGAAAACGAGGCCATCGAGCTGGCGCAAGAGATACTTAAATGTCTTGTCTTGCTGTCTGCCCAACCGATCGGCCTGAAGGCATGGGAGGTTAGTCCACATCAGAATCCCTAATTCCGAATGAATAACTGTACAATCCACTCCCGTTTTTAGCCTGTCTCGCGCACTTCTTCGCTGGCATCGATTGTTTACTTTGCCAAGGAGGACAGCGATCAGCGATCTTCAGCACTGAAGATTCTTTCGAACTTCTGCAAGGATCCCTACGCCTTCTACATGCTGAGTACGGCGGATGCCATTGTGGCTGCCTGCGAGATGCTCATGGCTGTTAACATGGCCAAGCCGCTGACAGAGAGCGAGAGCCGACATTGCATTAATATTGTATCGACGCTGTCCACGGATGCCTGTAGTCGCTCGAAAATCCGACGCTGTGGAGCTCTGCGCAAGCTGGTGGCCATGATCCGGGACTCGCACTCCCAGAGCGAGCGCTCGTCACTGTTTCACATCTTTAACAACTTTCAGTATGACAACTTGAGCATGGAGCTGTTGCTGTATGAGGGTCTGGTTCCATTGCTGGTTAGGGAACTGAACGACTATCTGGTCAGCGATGACGAGCATCACAAACGTCGCCGTGAGGAGCGCCTGCAGGGTGGGAAGAAGCGAAAAATATCCGAGCTGGCCACACAGGAAACGACAATCAAGGTGGCTATCCGTAAAAGTAATCCGAAGTACGCGTAATTAATTATTCAATTATTTTCCCTTTGCAGTTTGCGAAAACTCTTGATTCTTCGGACTTTGATTCGCCCAGCAGTTCGCCGCGTTCGTATCGCACCACCAGTCCGTGCAGCTCGCGCAGCATGTCCCCATCCTCGAATCTGTTGGCCAATGATGATGATGATAATTATTCACCGGCTTGCAGCGACGATGAGGATGAAGATGATAATTCCACCACGAACAATGACACGCGAGATCGACGAATAGCCGCCAATCGTGCCCAGGCCTCGAATGTCTTGGATATCTTAAAGCTAATTGATGACGGCAGTGAACCCATTGACGACACTCTGTCCGACAAGGAAGACTTTGAGGAACTCAGTTCAGATGTGCCTCCTTTGTCGCAGATGTCCCAGTTTCGGAATCAGGCAGGCGACACAATAGACATCATTGAGAATCTTCTGTACCGCATTACCTTGATGTTGAATAAGCGAATGGAGCTGGGCAAGCCGGAGACGCTGGATACGCTCATAAGGGCAATCAATTTGTTTGGTGCAAACAACAACTTTGCCAATGCCCTGACAAATATTCTGCTGTAAGTAAAATGTTGAACCTAAATCACGCAGATTACTAGATTTATCTTGCAGGGAGAGCCAGTTCTTTGCCCAGATCATCAAACATGGCGTGGTCCATCAACTTTATCAGCTCACAAAAGTGGAGGAGGTATTGTACAGCTTTGGCATCAGTATTCATCCATACCTAACTCTGTATCTGTATTTTGTAGATGCGCAAAGATGGATTTGCATTTCTGGAAACGCTTACCAATGTGGGCGAATCGAATTATGGCAAAGAGGAGCTGGTACGACTCTTGCGCTGCGACGATCCCAATGCCCAGCAACGTGCTGCGATATCCGTGGCATACATCATCAAGAACCCCCGTCTGCTGTATCAGTTTCTCAATGACGGAAATGCCTTGAACTTGCTCTTTGAGCTGCTGCTACGCAAGAGCGAGGATCTGTATGCGGATGAGGCAGCGGATGCTGTAACATCCATGTCACGGTACACTCTGGGCATCTCGTTGCCCGAAGCCGATCCTGCGGACAGCACAGCTGGCATCTGCACTCAGCAGTTGAATGATTCGACGCCAATGCACGAGAACTGCGATATGCGATTTATTGTCAGCAAAGAAGGCGACGCCCCACATAGTATTGGCTTTAACAAGCAGCTGCTTTGCGAGAGCAGTGAGGTCTTCAACAGGATGCTCAACAGCGACTTCCGCGAGGGCCATCATGGCGAGATTCAGCTGCAGGACTATACGGCCTGCGGTCTGCGATATTTTCTGCATTTAATTGGCTGCCACGAGCAGCACTTGGGCCAGCCAAATTACTCCGCCTTGATTCAGGCATTCGAGATGTCTCGCGTGTACATTATACCCGAGTTGGAGGTCATTTTGCAACAGCGTCTCGTCCAGTTCCTAGATGCCCACAACTGCCTGCGTCTGCTTGAGTGGGCTCTGAAGAACTACCACGCAGACTTAACTGAGACGGCCATCAGCTTCTATCTCTCCTCGGCACTGCCCGCGCAAGAAAAGCTTCTGCTTTTCCGTGCCGCCGAGGACTCGACCTATGCCAGCGAGTGGTTCCAGCTGCTCAATGATGCGGTCTTCGAGCGATGCCGCAGCACCGGCTACTAAACCACCTCCATTCTGTGATTGTGTTTTCCTTTCTATTTGTTTTTATGATGTGTGTGTGTGTTATATGTGTATGTATACTTAGTGCATGTTTGTGTTTGTAACCCATTCCAAGAGAAGACAGGACAGGACCGAAAGGCGGACCCCTGGGTGCATTTTACTCAATTTTATTAGCCACAGCCCTAGCCAAGTATTTTAATGTGCTCCAGTAAATGTTTAGACTACCAACTACCCAATCTTCGCGCCGCTTGTTTCATATGTGGGCATCGCACAGAACCGCAGGGTAAGCCAGTCCACAAGCGGCGTGGGACAGATGCAAAAGAGCCACCGATACACACGATATCGCCAGGGCTCGTGTATGTACAGCGACGCTGGTTGTGTGCTGGTCAGGGCATCCTTGAACTTGGCCAGCAGCAACTCATCCTTCAGCTGATTGGGCGCCTTATAGCCTGACACGATTTTCAGATATCCATTGAAGTGCTCAAAGTAGACATCGTAGTGGGCATGCTGCTCCGCGCTGAAACCTTCCCGCATTCGCTGTGCGTGCTGCTGCTGGCGTGCCGCAATGTTGCTGTCCAGAACGAAGGAGCCGGGTATAAAGTTGACTACCTCCATGCCATACTGCTGCAGCTCGATGCGCAAGGAGTCCGTCCAGAAACGCAGGGCCGCCTTGGAGGCGGCATAGGGAGCGAGGGCCGGCAGCGCCTGCAGCCCACAGTGACTGGTCACGTTGATGATCCTTCCCTGCTGTTGTCTCAGCAGCGGCAGCAACTGGCGCGTCAATCGCATCGTTCCCAGGAGATTGCAATTGATCTGCATCTCAATTTGTTCGGGCACCTGCCACTCGAACTCCCCGAAGCACATCACGCCCGCATTGTTCACGAGTGCCGTCAGCTGGTAGCTCGAATCCTTTGCCAGTATGTCCTGAAGTCTCTCTTGCACCAGCTGGATGGAGCATGGCTGCAACAGATCCAACTCTAAGGTGTGCATCCGCGAACTCAATTGCTGGAGGAGGCGTGCCCCATCCGACTTAAGGTTGTGGCAGCAGGAGACGACCGTCATGGAGAGCACATTGTGGCAGTAGACAGCCAGGCAGTGACTGCGAGCAGAGCGGCTATTAATTCTGATTCTGTATGATCCATTTTTGCTTACCCCAGGCCGGAATCACAGCCGGTGATGAGTATTACATTACGGCCATCAACCGGTAGCTGGCGACGCCCCATGCCCAACATGCGTCGCAGGGCGCGTAAGAGGTGGCTACTGCTCATTGCGCCAGCTCTCGTATGACTGAAACAAAGCCGCTGAAATTCTGAAAATAATGCAAACCAGGCAAACCCGAAAATGAATATATGTATAAAAAAAATGTACGTATGTACATATGTAACCATTATCTGAGAGCACTGAGTATTACATGCCGCTTTAGACTGGTCCTTAATGTAATGCCTTGTGTTTCAGTTACAGCTGAATGTTAATCATATTTAAATGAGTGCATTCTCCCGCTTATGGTTAATGACTTAATGACTTTATGGCTTTGCTTTAGCTCTCCCTTTTTTGGGCAGGGTGTGGGCCCACCCTAATTTACCGGCATCAGTGTTACCTGCCGATCAAACCCGACCAGCCGAGCCATTTGCAAGTCATGTGAGAATTACTTTTGGTTTCTAGAATAAATTGGATGTACAATGGTTTGTTTCTTTTGGGTTTTTTCGGTAGTTTTATTTGATTTCTTTTTTTTTTTTCTTTCAATTTTGGTGTTTGTGTGTGTGTTTTTTTCTGCCTTATAAGTGCATCGTATTTTTTCCTACAGTTTCCTGCTGATCAATTTGATTTTTGTGTGTGGTGTTTGGATAAATGTAGAAAAATGTGGAACATAATGCCACACAGGGGCAATCTATATATTCTTTTACCTGATTCTGATCTATTGTAGAATATTATGTTCGATTTTCGTATTTCATCAGTTTTGCATAATACATTAATTACATATTAAATAATTGCTTTGCTTTGTCATTATCATCTTATAAATTGTATTTGAAAATAGCGCTTTCGTTGCGTTTAGTAAAAATATATTTGGGCTCTTCTACTACGTGCAGGCTTACCGAATAATCGTCGTACAATAAGTATACAATATTTTGTTGTGTATCTCATCTGCTCATCGTTTCACATGTGCTACGGCTTCAATATAAAACTGGCATCGTCATCATCAATTAACGCGATTATTGTTTACGTTTTAAACATACATTTAGTACATATAATATTTATATAAATTTGTTGTTGCATTTCTTAATTCTCTCTCAAGGCATTGTATGTAGTTTGTTTGTATTTCTTCTGTATTTAATAGATATCTGTGTAGGTATACATATATTTTATGCAATCTTTTCCTTCGTTTAAATGTACAATTTTAAAACCGGCTTAGTTCCTTTCATTACACGCTTCATTCGCTTCGTTTAATTCTTTTGTTTGCTTTCTTTCCTACTTTTGTTTATTTTTTTTATAATAAATATCACAACGCATCCTTCCATCCTTCGACTCTTCCACTCCTCCAATCCCTTTTCCATCTACTCATTCGGTTTGCATTTTCCGGCTTGGCCGCTTGCGCCACAAGCTGAAAAATGTCAGGCATACAACACGCTAAACATGCATCACATTGCATCCATCGATCCGATCCGATCCGATCCGATCTGTTGTCGGTTGTCGTATTTATATTTTTGGAAAATATAACACGCAAATGAAAAAAGATTTCAAAATTGCACAAAACACTCCTCCGGCATAAAGATATACTCGTAGAAAAATCATAAATTAAACGTAATAAAGATAATAATACAAAAACATTAAAGTTAACGGAAAACAAGAGTGCCCTACGAGGGGCCTACGAAATATTCGTTACAGATACGATTACAAAAAAAAGAACGAAACATCCGGTAGAACTAGCAAAATGTTTGTTGATTTCAGCGCTCCCTCCACTTGCAGCGTAAGTTGTAGATAGTTCATTCATTATAACGTAGAAAACTTAACTTAATTCTGACTTTGTTAGCGCCGTGCGTCGGCCTCCGCCACCGGCCCTATACCGGTTATAAGCTGACCAACTTGGACGGCTCGGTTGTGGGCGTGGGCAGCTCCAGCGGATGCTTGTTCTGCGAGGAGCAGTTGGGCACCAGCGGACCGGACACGGGCGTCAGCCCAGTGCCCCCGTCCATCAGCGAGTCAAAGTTGAAGGTGCCCGTCGACGGTGTCTGGATGGGCACACCCTGTATCTGTGTGGGCGCCTTGCCGCCGCTCACGCTCAGCTGCATTTGGCCGCCAAAGGGCCGCTGGACGGCCAGCGTGTTGGGTCGCTCCTTTGGCATCTTGTTCAGAGTGTTAAGTGTGGGGCCGTTGTGGATGTTGCTGATGGTGGTGGGGAAGTTGCCAAAGCCATGCGGCGCCGTGCCCGAGATGGGCGTCTGCAGCGAACCCGTCGGGGCGGTGGGCGTCATCAGCGTGGCAATGTTGGGCAGCGCGAAGCAGCGCTTGTGCGGCGGCGGTCCGTCCTGGTCGAGCGAGGAACTCGAGTCCAGTGCACCGTCGAGCGGCTCGTCCTTAATTTGCAAGAGCAGATCCTCATCGATTGGCACTGGCTTGAGACCGAGCGGCGAATTGCTGCGCCCGGTGGAGTTCAGGGTGGCATCGAGGCCGGTTATGGTGCCGCTGCTGCTGTCATTGCTATTGCTGTTGTTGTTGTGGTGGCTGCTGCCGCTGCCACAGCTGCCGGCACTGAGGAGGGCCGCTGGCCCGATTATCCCATTGCAGGTGGACACGCTGAGCATATCGGCACGCACCTTCAGGCACGCGGGACGGTGCGCCTGGAGGAAGTACTCCAGCTGGTTCTTCGTCTCGTTGAGCAGCTCCATCTCCTTCTTCAGGCTCTCGCCTCGCTTCTCCAGCAACTCGACCTCTTCGGTGAGTTCGTTGGTCTGGTCGACGCGTCGCTTGCGACAACGTGCCGCCGCCTGCTTGTTTCTCTCCCTGCGGATGCGACGCTTCTCCTCCTCCTCGGGCGTCATATTGGCGGACCTGTTCGGTCGCCGTCCGCCGCCACGACGCGCCGGTGTGGCACTGTTTGAGGTATTTGTGTTGCCCTGAGAAGAGCTCATGGCTGCGGCCAGGACCTTGCTGAAGTTGTTGGCACCGCCCCCGCCATTTCCGCCGTTGCTGTTGCTCATCATGTGTCCATTCTGATAGGAGGTGCTGTCTGTGGCTCCACTTGCTGCAAGTGAAAGTAAAACCCCATTAGATTATTTATTCCTTTATGGGTTTTGTTGATGAAACACTTACAAGTATCGGATATGCTCTGATCCTCATTTATTTGCCCGTCGGCCCAGGAGCCGTTGGACTCCTCCGAATCGCTGCCGGGCATAATGCTGGACCCGCAATCAAATACCTGCTGCTGCTGACTGATTAGCGGATTGCTCACACCAATTATGGTGGCCGTTGTGGTCGTCGTTGTGGGCACCACCGATACCAAACCGTTGCCATTGTTGCCATTGCCATTGCCATTGTTGTTGCTTACCAATGGGGCCAGCGGGGGCGGCTTGAAACCGGCCTGATATGGTGCATTAACCACATCGTTGGTCATCTCGTAGAATGTCTCCTCGATGCTGCGCAGCGTGGTCGGCGTCAGCGTGGGCGTCGTCAGCGTTGGTGCACTCTGTATGCCATCGAATGTGCCGAGCTGCAATTGGATATAAAAGGCGAAATTAATCAAAAGTGTTTACATTTTATTTCATGTTTAATTTGTTCTGAGAGGGAGACCCAAGCAGAGAGGCGAGTATAGACAGGAAGAGAAATGAGAGTGGGAGAGAGAGCCATCACTAGAATGTTTATATTTCTGTTCCATTGTTGTTTCATTTTGTATACCCTTTCATAGAGCATATCGTATACATCCGGCCGTCGGTTTCTATGCATAATCTTCCTGCACTTCCAATGGAAACATTAAACATTGAATTTCCAAGGGTATCAATCAGTTTGCTCTTTATAGCTGGTCTTTCTTTCTTCTTTTCTTTCTATTTTAGGCGATGAGCAAAAATTGCCAATTGTTTCGCGCCCAAAGATCCAAATTTTTTTGAAATTAACACTTTTGTTTCGATCCGTATAAATCCCATACCGATAGCGATAATATACCTGCTGCATAAATAGCTCGCTGGCTAAAAAACTGGCAATTTCACTGGCATCCATTGCAAACTTGTCACCATTCGCTGTTGTTGAAGTATTTGTTGGTGGATTATTCGTTGGTGTAGATTTGATTGGCGTTGGTTGCTGCTGCTGCTGCTGCTGCTGCTGTGGCTGATTGTAATTAATGTGCCCACAATTGTTGTTGAACTCTTGCTGTTGCTGTTGTTGTTGTTGTTGTTGTGTAAAAAAGTTCTGCATTTGGCACATGGCGGCCATGGCGGCGGCGTTTGTGTTGGTTGTCGCAGCCGGCTGCTGTGTGGGCAATTGTCGTTGATGTAACATTTGCTGCTCTTGCTGCTGCTGCTGCTGATGATGCAGCTGTTGTTGCTGTTGTTGGTAGTATTGATTGGCTGCAGCAGCATTATATGGCCACTGCATCTGCGGTTGAGCGTTCTGCGTCAGGCCATTTTGTTGCGTATGAGCAGCATGTAATGTCTGCTGGTGCTGATGTTGCTGTTGTTGTTGCTGTTGTTGCTGTTGTTGTGCCTGATGCAGCTGATGGAGGTAGGGATGGTAGCACGCATTATGCGCTCTACCATTGAGATTTTTCATCATTTGTTCGTTGTTTCTTCCTATCTAAACCCTGCACTAAATATCTCTTATATTTAAGCTACTTTCTCTTAATATTAAGTATACGCAAAGGCTGATCACGTATACGCACAGTTGGGCGCAATGACTAGTATTCGTTATTCGTTATTCAACAATATATAATGGGACAACAATGCTATATATATTTACTCGTACCATATGCAATCAAAAATCAACAGAAACAGATTCTTATTTATGTTTAAATCTAAGTGAAAACTCTTTCCTTTTTTAAATATTAATATTTACAGCAAAAGCTAGATCTTCTATCTATCTATAGATTTCCTATATGTATGCTTGTCTTTATGGTTGTTGTTCTTGTTGTTGTTGTTGTTGTTGTCGCAGTAGTAGTTGTTGTTGTTGTTGTTCGTTCGTTGTATTTGGTTTTTGATTTTGGTTGTATTTTCGTTGTATTCTACGTTTCCATAAAGAGTTTAGTTTCGTTTTTCAACTGCGAGCAGTTCTGTGTGTTCGTTAGTGACGTAGATTCGTTTGTTCAATTTCTCAATATCAATTTCTCAGTTGCTTCAATCTCTCAATCGTTGCGTCGCCCTCCGTCTTCCGGGGGTCTGAGGCGCTTTACGATAAGCATCGGCTGATTTCGCAAAGGATCGAAATGAGTATTCCACATAATCAACACAGTAATAATTATCGTATTCAAAGCTTTAACATCTGGTGTGACAGGCACGTGTATTTATATTCAAAACGAGGAGGGCTTTCGCTTTGCGGATTGAGCCTTGCGCCAGTTTTCGGGGCACAGCATTCGATTCGTTTCAATTCTCATGGGTATACGGCGGGCAACGCCTCTCAAAAAATAAACTATACTTCTGCCTTTTGCTTTGGGCCAGCAATTCGCTATTATTTCTCGCACATATATATGTGTATGTACGATGTATATAATGGTATCTATCTATATATATGTATGTGTGTATATAGCCAAGCAGCTTCTGTTCGAGTCCACGCGGCATGCAACGTAAACTGAGAAAATGTGCGTCTCGTTTTATTCTTTTCTTCCTTTTGTGTTGACTGTGTTTCCTTCACATTTATTTGATTTTATTTTTATTCTATTTTCATTTTATTTTTCGATTCGTTGTGTTCTCCGAAGATTCGTTTTTGGCAATGCACACGCGCGCGCCACAAAACAAACAGCAGGAACAAAAAAAAAACAAAAACAAAAAAAAACTAGCAGAAAAATCGGCGAAAAAACAATTGCAATTTTGGTATTTCTGTTGCTGTTTTTTTTTTATCTGTTTCGAATTTTCCAAATATATTTTCGTTTTGTTCGCTATTCGTTGTCGGATTTTTGGTTCGGTTGTTCGGTTTTTCTCGAGCAGGAAAAGCGCGCGCGCGATCGCCTTTTGGTTTTTTGTTCTCGAATATTTTTCTAAACTTCGATGGTTCGTTGTTCGTTTGCGACTGATTCCGGGGCGAGCGCGAAATTGGCAACGATCGAGAGATCTTGAGATTGCGATTTATCTAGAGAACAGCCAGCAGCAGCACACACACAGAATCCCCAGAGAGCAGAGAGCTGTTTGCTCAAATTAGAAGACAACCAACTAAGAAAATCAAATAAATTTAAATGCTGGCTGCTCTTAATTGAGCGGCAGCCCACACGGCGACATGTGGGCCAGGCCAGGGCAGGGCAGGGCAGGGCAGGGCATGGCAGCAACGGGCAGCCCACGCGAGTCTCGCCATAAACATTTTGTATAGCAGATATGTACACACATTTGCCATGCCCGACAAAATGTAGATGTAGGTTATTTCCGATCTAGCGGATCTTACTCTTTCCCTGGAAAGTCTTTTAGTTTCGGATAATTCATAAATCAAAACACCGAAATGAAACGTTCAGGCGAATGTTTGGCAACAGTTTTTCGGCCAATTTGCGGAACATAACATAACATTTATTTATAGCACAACTGTCGTCTGTCACATCTGACAGATAGATGTGTGTTGTGTGCCACAACAGGTGTGTGTAACATTCCTGCAGAGGAACCAAAGAGACCCCCTGGCATGCCAATTGTATCTAAATACAGGGTATTTGTTGGGCAGTTGGGGGTATATAAGCTTCAGTAGAGACTATTAAAAATGGATTTTAATGCTTTTTAGAGAGGAAAGCTGATGTGATGAAATAATTTGACACCTTGCCTTTTCGTTTATTTGCATGTTATTAAGTAAGTCATTTCCATACTCCGGATCTGTTCAGATCCGATCCATTCCCGAGTGTACGATATATTTATTGACAGATCTTATCGGAGGAATATGCATACAAGGCCATTCCCTTATTTACAACAACATTTTGTGGTGTGGTGTGGTGTGTCGTGTTTGGCAGTGGCAAACAATCGATTTTATTCTTTGTACGCATGTTTATTTTATATTTATTTATTTAATATATATTCTGGCATTTGCTTTTGAAGAAAGCCGCAGTTTAAACACCTTCACCATGTTGTCTGCTCGGGTCGGAGACTTTCATTTTAACCTACTTTCAAATGTAAATTTACTTTTGCGAACTTGTTCCTGCATGAACAGCATGAACATGAACTGCTTTTGGCCGATGAATCAGTCAATTAAAAAATATAAATATATATATTCAAATATATATTATAACAAATAATAGCCCTAATAATATGTAGTACGAGCGAGCAGCAGCCGCAGCAATTGATGTTTAAATTAAAGCGGGCCTCAGAGTCCCATCATCAGTAGACGTCTCTCTTATCAGAGAGGTCTGAGCCCCCAGAGTTCACATCAGAGGGTCAATTGAGCTGCGCCAAAGCGTGGCAAACGAAACGAACAGAGCAACGAGAACCCAGCACACAGAACACTGACGTAGTCGCTATAGTAAGCAAATTGCTGACTAATACATGGGTCTGCTGCTGCAAATTTGATTACAGTGGGACTGAACACAGCTGTCTGCCTCGCTAGTTCATACAGTGGAGCATTAGCAGAAAAAAGAACTGCCATATGCATAGCGCACCTATGACCTTGACTCTAATTAGTTCAACATTTATTTTTTCCCTCTCTCTCTCTCTATGCCAAAATATTACCTCCTGGGGGTTGGGATGGTGCATCGGGAATTGGCAACAAGTTGACAGCAAAAGAAACATCGCAACGACTTTTGCCTGCCACTACGAGTGTGCCTGCGTTTCAGAGCTGACGTGTTGACTTATTTTTAGATCAATTTTAGCCTGACAATGACGTAATAAAGGCAAAATAAAAACACAAAACTTGGCAACATCAAAGGCAAAATCAACAACAACAAAGAGCGAAAACACAAACGACAAAAATGTGTATTGTTTATATCATAAGTGGCGTTGAATTATTATTAAGTGTTGAGGAGAAGGCAGCCAACACAGACGCTGCTGTTGACACTGCGAATGTTTGCTGTTAAGTTACGCTGTTAACTGTTAACATTCAACTGTTAGTCCTTTGGTACTGCCTGTACCTTGAAATTGTTAGCTTAGCTCTTCATTTTTACCAGTTCAACAAATGAATTAATTCTATTTACTTATTATTTATTTTGCTCGTTAAGCACTCAGCTACAGTCCCATGATATATTCCCCCCTTAAAACTATATCTCTGCTGCTATTCTTTTTCCAAATCAAAATCAAACTACAAACACAATTTCGCGTTTGTTTCAACGCTATTTTCTTGGGTTGTTTGGTGATGTTTTAGTTTTGCATTGGCATAAATTAACTATCTGTCGGGCTTGTTAAATACGAAACAACTGATGAAGGTTACAGAAAAGCCTCAGAATGTTGCTGTTGCCCCGCAAGTTGTTTCGCTAGAAATGCGCATAATTATAGTAGCAGCTAAACAGCAATATATTTATTGTATTTTTCAATTGGCAAAGACTTTAAATGCAGCTCCAAGCAGCATAGCATTGTGTTGTGCCTCAATGTTGTTGCAATGTCACATAAAGAAAGAAAAAACAACGACAAGAGCGAGAGAGAGAGAGACTTGAAAAGTTGACAAGTTCAAGTGCGTTTCGAGTTTTCGTTACACAAATAATATAAGCAGGGACTTCCCTTCGCGATAAACATAATTTCAGATATATGCATGAATGTACATAGTTATTTCTGTATGTTTCTATATCATTTGCATTTGCGAATGTATATGCAAATATTCTGCGAATAAAACAATTAACGGAAGAGAGAAGGCAACGCAACAGAAATCATATTTTATATTATTTTTTTTCGCATGAACGTGACCGCAATGCCAGAAAGGAAAGAGAGTGTTGTTGACTGAGTGCCGGGAGTGCTGGGCTGTTGATAAAGCCGTGTGTGGAGGTATTCCCCTGGACCCTCGTGATCCAAGAATTTTGGAGTGCCACAGAGTCAATGCCCGGCTTGGCGATGGACAGCCGTTTTAGGCACGCCACAGCGGCAGCAGCAGCAGCAGCAGTGGCAGCGGCAGCAGTAATGAAAGCCCCTTGACCATATCGTGTTTATATAATGTATATATAAAGACATATAAATATGTATGTACATATTTTTGAATTTTTTATATAACCCCAACAAATTTCTGTCTGTGCAAAGCAGCGCCGTCATTAAAATCACTCGAGGTTTAACCATTTTTGGAACGCCCCCACAACACCAACAACAAAATATACACACAAAACGAAAAATTGAATTAAAGTTAAGACATTTTTGTTGTATTTTTTGTTGCTTATATTTTATTTTAACTGCCGGACAGACCCCGCGACAGAAGCCATAATTCAAAATTTGCCAAAAAGTGCAGCCAAAAAAAAAATAAAAATCAGAAAAAATGTCAAGGCGCAGGGGAAATAAATTTCAGAATTGACTTTGGGATATGGGATACGGGGAATACGAAATGGAGGCTGCAAGGCGGCAGGAGTGCTGTGTTCCTTGGGTGTCAGGCTTTAAGTTGAGTGTCAAATTAATCAGACTTTTGGTCCAGGGACAGGGCGTGGAATAAACAGCGATTGACAAATTTGCATTTTATGCATAAAAAGCATAAAAAAAAAGCAGAGAGTTAAAATATTTATGTTCTGGCGTTTGGTTTGGGGGTGCAATGAACTCTCGACTAATGAATAAAGGTACATAAGTACTACCTCTCCTCTCTTTTGAAACTGTGGAAATTTGTTGGTTTTTAGGTGGGGTTTTAGCTGAGCCTTTGGGGGGCTACGAGATTCATAAAAAATACCCCTCAAAAATCATCGACAATTGAACTTTGTTATAATTAAATGTGTGGCCGCAAAAGTGGTCAGGGAAAGTAAAGTAAACACTCTTTATGTGTGTGGAAATACGCATACGCAAAGGGGCAAACGTGCAGCTAATAAAATGACGCGACATTGGTCTGGGAATAATTTATTTAAATGCATTTTGTCGCGACGCGACACACACGACAGTGAAAACAGAAACAAAAACATAACGAACAATGAACCACTAGCGTTTTGGGGGAGGGACGCGACTGTACGGAATTTATGGCCAAGTTTGCAGTTCGAGGAAATGGCAAACAAACGACGCGACGTCGAGGCGCCACCAAAGGATAAAAATGCACACAAGGATGGGGCACAGGACAGGGACAGACAGCAGACAGCAGACAGGAGACAGTAGCCAGTAGACAAGACAGAGCCAAAAAGAAAGGACTTCAGAGAGAGAGAGTGAGTGGAGCGCAGTAAAAGTTGTTTTCACTTTTCATTTGCGAGGTTTGGCCAATTCCGATTCTAAGAAGGACACGACCGCAGCCATCAAAGACATCAGACCCTTTGCCAAGCTGAAATTACAGCTGGCAGCAGTCAAAGGAAAGCTGAACTTAGCCAGCAAAGAATATATAGAAAGGAGTCGCCCTGTCCCCTGTCCAAATCAAAAGGACATCAATTACAGGGCAAGTTGCAATCGTGTTTCTCCCGTCAAATTATCTGCACCAAACTTTGTTGGCAGCCCCAAAAAAAACAAAAACCATTATCCGTTTACGTGTACGAGTGTATCTTTTCTTTGCCTTGAGCTTCAATGGGAAATCGACTTGAATTACGAAGAAAATTCAATTAAATTGACTGGAAACGCAATTAGCTGACCGCACAGACACACATACATTAATTTCAGCTGCATCTTAATTCAATTCAGTCGCTGCACGCTCCATGGACTCCATGTGGCATGATCGAAGCAATGATCTATCTACAGGCCGTAACCATATTTAGGCCAGTTCTGTAGGGGAGAAAAGGTGTAGCAGTGTAGGGGTAGGTGCCGCCAGGTGTGTAGGTAGGCAGCTCTTACACAAAGGAAAGTTATTGTTTCCCCACAATAAAATATCTGTTCAGACTTCAAGTGATTTCTTTCATGACAAGGGGGCCCCCCACACGGCAAATCGAAGAACGCCCACAACTTAAAAGACTCCCTCTCGCAGCGACTTAAGATTCCATTGCGAAAGTACAGCCTCGAATCAAATGTAAAAATAAATTTCAGAAAAAAGAGTAAATGGCAAGACACCGAACATTTTTTGGTTTGTTGTTTTCTTTTCTGAGTTAATTAAAAGAAAGTTGGACTTTGTCTGGATATTGCGGGGGCGTCGTCCCATACTCCGTCCCATTGCCTGTCGACTTACGAGTAATAAAACAATTTGAGGAGAGCTTAAGTCGAAGTGGGGTGCATGTGGCAAGTGTTTGACTTGCAGCATGTCACTTTGAACCGCCCTAATTGTGAGTGAGTGGAGGGGAGAGCCCGATCCCCTCCTAACATATGAATACGAGTATATCCACACACATAATTCTCTGAGTATCAAGTGTCACGCGAATGTGTCTGTGCCTTTGAGGTTCACAAGTCAAAGGGTCACCCCATTTGGACCCTAATTCACTTTCATATCATATAAAATTAACCAAAAAAAAATATATGTACATATCTACAATAGCACACAAAAAAAAGTTCGCTCAGCGGAAAGAAAAGTTAAAAAGCAACGCAAAAGTTTATAAATTGTCACGAAAATCGCACGTGTGCAAGATATCAGCCATGGAGCACCAGGCAGCAGACAGAGACTGAGACTGAGACCGAGACACAGACCCCGACGGAGAACCCGTTGAAAAACGCAACTCCAGACCGGACCGGATCACTGGACTGTGAAATGCAATGTACAAAAATTAACCGACAAAAAATGAAGACCAAAAAAAAGTATGGTATGTAGCTGTAAATGTTGGCATTAAACTGCAACGTGATTTACCGTTTGGGGGTGATTTCTTGGGGTACTCTTTGCGCCTCTGGGTTATATTCACAATATGAAGCGAACATGTTAACAAAACTCATTGCGATCCGATCATTATTTTGGCCATATAATTATATCTTTTCTAGCATTTTCATCAAAATTCTCTGTAATTTATTTTATTCTACACCAATTTCACATTCTTTACATAACACTGACTTATCAATTCCATAGCAATTGCCTGCAGTGGATCCAATAGTTTATTGGATTCCATTTATCGTGTCGTATGACAACGAAAATTAGTAGCAATGATGAATCCCCCACTACGATTCGGTCGAGCCACAGGCAACAAAAACTCATAATTCGCTTATCAAAAACACATCGTCGAAAGCCACAAAATATATTTTTTTTTTCTCTCTTTTTATATTTACAATCTGTTTTTTAAAACAATAAGTAAATTGTATAATTAATATTCAATTAACAGAAATAGCAGTTTTCCAATGAGCCCTGCTATTATATATAACATCTTTTCAGTTTGTTGGATTTATCCATCAGGGATATCGAGTATCTTTTGGTATCTTTTCAGTCTTCTTACTGTTAGGCTATTGTCTAATAGACTTAAGGCTAAATTATTTTCGTGGTTGTGGAGTCTGTCGATGTATTTCTTACTGGTTTTCTTTATTTCTTCTTTAATTGTTGGAATACTCAGATCTTTGTGGATGTTTGCATTAGATACGTAAAACGGAGCAAAGTTTTTGATTGGGAACGCTGAAGTATCTCAATATTTGAGTTGCTAGCAGCCACATTTCAATATGGAAATCTTTTTTGGGGTAATGAGCATTGAATAGTGTGGAGGTAAGTAAGGAGAGAGCGGAGAGAGAAGATTGGGTAGATCGGATGGGCGGGGCCTTATCGGTGGACAAAGTAAAAAAAAAACACAATTGCAAAACAGCAAATAACGCTACAACTTGACACGGATAGGGGGGAAAAGTGGGGGAAATAATGAAACGGAATAGCAGGGAACAGGAGGAACAAGGGGGATCTCCAATTTCCAAGAATTTAATATGCGAACGATAATGCAAAAGCTTATTGGCAGAAATAAATGTATGTTAGAGGCGTAAATAATAAAAAATAAAATAAAGTGGAGGAATTCTAGAAATTTCATGGCAGTGGCACACACTGATAGGAATGCATGGTCTGTGGAGCTGATAACAAACACTCTCGAATGTGTATGCCCATAACTATGCCAAAGTTGGGGTGGGGAATGGGCCTTGGTAGGGGTAGGGGTAGCAATATGCATAGATTGTATGTAAGATCTTACCACTTTAGGCAATGGCGAGAGCGGCATGCTAAACAGATACTCATCGCCAAAGATATTGTAGTTGTCTAGCGTCATCATGAATCTGCTGGTAGTATCAGTATCTATTTATTTATATTTCTTGTGTGTTTCCTTTTCCTTATTGTTTTTTTTTTTTTTTTGCTTTATTTCTTTCCGGCACAAAGTCTATTTTGCCGATTAGCCAAATGACTCAAAGCGATTTCTGGCGAAATACGCCTTTGTAAATGTCTTAAAATTCAATTCACACACTGCCACAAATGTATCTGTATCTGTATGTGTGTCTGTGCATCTGTAGTTCGAGTGGCGCGCGATCGTGCGAATTATTTGCGTTGTCCGTATTTCAATATTTCCGAGAATTTTTGTTCAGCTATTCTGTGGATTTTTGTTTAGACACAAATGCCGCACACATTCTGCCTCAGAAAATAGCACACTGTTTTAACGTTTTCCCAGTCGCTTTTCGCGTAAAATCTCTCGATTTTTCTTGACGGTTTGTGAAATGAAACGACGTTACACAGATATTATTGCCGAAGCGTTTCGCACGGCCAACTTGTTTTGACTAATGCGTCATCGTCGGTCGACTGGCCTTATATACGCCCCCAGAGGCCACCCAAACGAATTGAGCATTTTTTGTATCGCTCCGAGTGAAAGAGAGGGCCAGACAGAGGGAGAGTGAGAGAGAGAGAGAGAGAGCACAGAGCATGGGCCTTTTTTGAGTGGAATTCGAGAGCTTCGTGGGGCTCTGTGTCTCTGGCTGGCATTTCCTGAGCAACAAAATGAAATAAAGAAGCAAAAACTGCACAAACCACAAATTATAGTACACTGTATATAGAAATATTTGTATGTGTGTGTCGTGGGTTTAACCCGCTGGCTGCTACATATAGTAAATATATCGCTTAAACGGGCACGGCACTCACGTGCCTCATTGTGCCTCGTAGTTTTTTTTCTTTGGCTACGCGTTGTTTACCGTGTGTCTCAATTCTTGGGGCTGGCTTCTTTCTTATCTTATCTGCAGACAATTTAGTTATGACATAAGCAACTAAATTTAAAAGCCACAGCACAGGTAAAGTCCCCCCTTTTTCCAAATGCAACCAACAACAATGGTTGGCCTTTGTAATCGTGGGGCACCAAAAGTCGCCTTATCTATTTTGGTTGGCTCTACGAAATGGGTCGCCAGGCGATTCAATTCGATTCCGATACGAATCGGAGTGTCGCCGACGCCAACGATCCACCTGAGCCGTTGGTCGACGAGGAGTTAGGCAGGTGTTCGTTCCTCTGTAGGCATTTATCGTATCTACGAATGATATGTCAGCATTTTCAATAAATATTGATGGGCTCCGGATGGGGGACTCTACCGATTGATGCGTTCCGTTGCGGTGTCATGTAATTTTATGCGCAACAAAATGAAAAGGCCACACTGACCTTGTGTCGTCACTTACGTAGCTCTCTTTTTTGTTGGTCTGTTGAGGGGTGGTTGGATGTGGTTGAAGTGCAACCATAAGTGGGTCGTGTGACACTAAACATCTGTGTGGCACAAAGGCAAATTGCTTTGCTCTACTTACCTGCAACGAGAGATAGGAAGAAAGAGAGAACAGAATTTTCCATTAGAACTTGGAATTTCAAAGTGCAGAGAAAGAACTTCTTAGAGCTTTAAATTTGAAACTAAGTTATAAGTTTATTCAAAAATGTGTATCTGTGGATCGAAACAGTCTGTGTTTAGTCAATAAACAAATGCACTTGAAGCCATTTCATTCATTCAAAAACCCTTTAAAATGTAGCCTCCAATTGACTCACATGTTGACTCGATTGAAGACAGTAAATGCTTGCCCAAACGCACTTCAAAGTCCTTTTTTTGTGTCAGGGTACAATCAGCAATAAGTTTTCAAATAATTTCTACGAACTCTTCGCCGACGTCACGGAGAGGCGACATACTGATAAGACCTTATATGGTACGAGTGGCAGCATTCGGAAGCCACGAGTAGTTCATATTTTTAGCAAATGGAATCATTTGTCGAGGACTGCGCACTGCATTTCTGACGCAAAGGTTATTTGCCTGACCGGAAGCAGAGCCTTAGGTTTCCATATAATTTGGCAATCGGTTGTAAGGAAGAACAAACAAAATGAATAATGAGCGATTTCTGTCGAATAAATGTTGGCCGCCGCTGATAAGAGACGGTTGGTATCTGTATCTGAGCAAAGGCGTTTACATCAGTACTTAAAAATAAAGCTATCTTTTGTTCGTTTTCATTGTTTTTCTTTTGTCCAGCGATAAGAAAAGGCAACGGCTCTGCGATAAAGTCTTGCAGTTCCGTACCAACGTGATCCAAACTTCCGGTGATGATGGGGGTACGGGTACGGGTACGGGTACGGGTACGGGTATGATTACCGGGTAAAACCGCTCCAAGCAGTCGCCAGTTTTGTCGTAGGCCCATGCCATCAGATAAGACTGAACAATGGGCCACAAAACCAAAACAAAAGTAAATCTATGACAAATACTCGTAGCCCAAGTTGTGTTCTCCCTCGGTTTCTGATAGGGAAATCGCTTTGCAATTAACTCCTGTTTATGGTGTAAACAGAATCGCTGCCACAGGTGACTGCCTCCTCCAGCAAAGAATTCTCACAGTAAGAGAGCAACATTCGAATCCTAGTGAGCGCCTGCTTTCCGTTTTGAAAATGTTTTCCTACTCCTTTATCAGACATGCCACTTTCCTAGTCTCAAAATCGAAAACCTCTTTCAAAATTAAACTACTTTTTGATCAGAATTACTAAAACAAACTTGCACCATCATTTAAGACTTCAAATACCAAATTTAAACGAATAATAACTTGGTAGAATGGCATTCATTCGTTCCAAGCTCAATCTGGGATCGCTGGCTCGCGTTGCCTTTCGATGGAGCGGTCCTGGGATGGCGCTCGTTAGCTACAGCAGCCAGGAGCCATATTTGGTGACGGCTGTGCAGGGCAAGTCGAAGTCCAGGATTTCCGGTGAACAGTCTGTTGTGCAGCTTGGTGTCCTGTCAGGAGTCCACCGAAGATTCCCTGTCGCAGTCCCGCAAAGGAATCAGGCCACCCAGTGCTTCGGGGAGGACAGCTATTTCTTCAGCTCATCGCCCACAGCCGATGTCATAGGCGTGGCGGATGGAGTGGGCGGCTGGCGCTATATGGGCATCGATGCCGGGCTGTTCGCCAAGGATCTGATGCATCGTTGCTTCACCCACGCCCAGCGGAACAACTTCGATGCGCGGCATCCACGCAATCTGCTGATCCAGTGCTACGGCGAAATGAAGCGAAATCGGAAGCCCATTCTGGGCAGCAGCACCGCCTGCGTGGTGGCCTTGAATCGCAGTGAGTCCGCCCTTTACACCGCAAACCTAGGGGACAGCGGATTTATGGTGATCCGCAATGGCAGTGTCTTGAATCGCTCCGAGGAGCAGACCCACTGCTTCAATATGCCCTTTCAGATGAGTGTGCCGCCACCAGAGTCGAATCGTGATTCGTGGTTCTGCGATGATCCTTCGTTGGCGGTGGCAACACGCCTTCTCCTGAAGCCGAACGACCTCGTGCTGCTGGCCACAGACGGACTCTTCGACAACATGCCCGAGAGCATGCTGCTCGAGATGCTGGCCAAAGTGCAGGGCGCTCATGAGGAGAAGGTGCTGCAGGAGGCGGTCAATCGTGTGGTGGCACGGGCCGAGGCTCTTTCGACCAACCCCATCTATATGTCTCCATTCGCCATCAAGGCCCTGGAGAACAATGTGGATTATCCGCGTGGCGGCAAACCAGATGACATAACCGTGGTCCTTGCCAGCGTGGCGATGCGCAAGCGGCAAACCACTGCGGGGAATTCCACTGAATTTTAGGGGGTGTGACCCATTGACCCCACCACTCTTTCATCTAGGGTGAAGGCGTTATCAAAGTTAAATCAAAAGTTCAAAGTGTTGCACACCAAATATTGTTATTGAGTCAATCAAAATGTCACCAATGTTGGCAGCGATAAAAATTAAATATACAATTTGTTTATGAGCAAAAACAATGTGGATTTCGCTGGCAGCAGGTGTATGGGGTGTTCATGGGTATAGTATTCATTCATTCAGTAAATATGAATGAATGAACGAAAGCGCGGGGCTACAACCGATTCCACACACAACGAGCGCAAACAGATTGGATTGGATGACTCATACGTTTTAACCAGAATTCGTGCGCTTTTTTTCTTCTGTTTTTCTTAGCCCAGTTAGTAGGTGTATGTGCGTGTGTGTGTGTGTGTGTGTGTGTGTCGCAGAGGCGGGAGGGCCAACGAGACGTGCCATGGCCTAGGGCTCCAACAACTCGGCTGCGCCCACACTCTCGCTCGCAAAAGCCGGCTCTACGAAAACCGCTCGTTTTGGCACACGTAAGCACTCACTCACGAGCTCACGAGAGCTTTTTCACTCAAGCGAAAGAGAGCAATAATTGAGAGAGATAAAAAGCCAGAGAGAGAGAGAGAGAGCGTTATTGACGAGTGAGCGAACGGAGCTCTCCACACGCAAGATATTAAGAGTGAGAGGAGGGGGGGGGGGCAAAATCAGGCGATGGTTGATGACGTTGGAAATCCCCAATGCAGGCAGCAGCATTGCGAAATTCCCCTCGAGCATAAAAGCGCAAAGGATGCGGGATACGACTAACGGTTACCCACAGAAAACATAACACATAAGAGGTAAGCATTAATTCCTTCAAAAAAACATAATAACGACGATGCGTAAGACTTATCTTTTCAGAGAATAAAATAAAATATTTCCACTTTTTGTAACCAACTCTCGTTGAGTGCCAGCACACCTTAACCTTCCTCTTAGTGGCGACGGGTCAAGGAGTGACACAATGCCGTCCGGTGTCGGGGCGTCAGTTCTTGATAATTTCCCCCATGGCTTTATCTTTGGCTCATTTCGCACTTTTCAGCGCCGTGTCGAATTGAACCTGATGTTGCAGCTCTCTCTCGCTGCTGCAGCTCGTTCGTTGCCCCTTGGAATGTGGTGGCTTGCCTTCTGCGGCTGCCTGATGCTGCGCCTCTTCTTGGAATTCCTTGCCGGATGACGCGTCCACACGTTGCACGGGCCAACAAGGATCGACGGGCGTGTAAATCTTTCAGCATTGTGTTTGTTGTATGCATTTTTAGCCACACTTCATTTCAACCCAACCCAAAACCACTCCAGATGTGCTCCAATTGGAATAACCAATTCCACATCCATTTCCCAGTTCCATTTGCTAGTTCCATGTGCAATTTCCGCTGGCGGCCGGCTATATGCCTTGAATTAGTTGAATTGTCGATGTATGTAGGTACAATGTATATAACTCAATTAGGGGTAGAACAGGGGGCTAACTGAACATCAGGCAACTGCCATTTAGCACTGACACCTCCTCCCCCTTCTCCTAGTACTCCTCCTTCGGGCTCTGCCCTTGCTCTGGAGAGTTCAACAATCCCAATGGTTTGTTGCCAGAGGCAGTGGCTCAGGCGCCATAGTTGAACAAAGGGGATTCTTTGTTATCCATGGGTTTCAGGTTTGAGGAAAATTCCGCACATTTTCGTATTTGTTTTGTTGACCTGAAATCTAAGGCGCAGACACAAGCATGTGCCAGGGGAGAGTTCTTTTGGATTAATTATACTAAATTCCTATATTCCATTTCGTTAAAATAAATACTATAAAAAGAAAGAAACAATATCCCTTATCTTATCGAATCATAGATCTCTTCTGTTTAAATAGCTCCAACCCCCTTTAAGCACTTCTCTGGACAACGCTCCTTGTTAATATCTGAATGCTTTCCTTTTCTCTCTCGCATGACATCCCATCCCTCCTCCACCTTGCTCTACAACAATTCCAAGAAAATCGAAAGCAAATGCGAACACAAAAACACGCAACTTTTGACATTTTCCCCGTTTTTTCCCCATTTTTGTTTTTCATTATTGTATTTTCGGTTTCTTTTGACACTTCGTTGAAAATACATACACAAACACATACATATTTACAAATGCACAAACACCACATGACATAATTGTTGTGTGGGGGGATATTAGCATTTCAACTGAAGCAAATGAGAGATCATCGCATTAAACTCTCTCACTCTCTCTCAGTGAAGTTGGGATTAGAGATGAGCGCTTGCTGTTAATGAGAGCTCACGTACAAAAAGGCACGATGAAATCGGGAGTGGCTCACGATACAGCTTACAGTTAAACGATGAAAGTGAGAGCGTAAGCTGTTTGTTATCCATCTAAAGAGGCTTTGGAAAATAAAGCGGGAATGGCAGCTTAAGCTTTGCCTATACATTGCATATACATACATATGTACGTATGTACATACACATGTGCATTTTTTGCTGCGAAATCTTCAATTCATTTTCACGGTATAAAAAACCCTAGACCATCTCTAGCTGTGACGTCAGTCCGACGAGAAACTTTGTGACCAAATTAGGTACTCTTTTTTCAAATGAGCTCCAACGTACGAGACATGCTCCGACATGCCTCAAGCCTCGAGGAGACCAACAAACCGGCTTGTCTACGTCGCGGTTATTGTGGCCACAGCCTGAGCCCAAAGCTTAAGTTTAAGCCATTGACGTCATAAGATAATTTCATTAGCCGAGCGCCAAAGTGCACAAGCCACAGTGGAACTTTCGAGTTCACACAGCAAACGATATCTACACAACTCGAGTGGAAATGTTCAAACTTTTTGGGGGACTTCCCATACTTGATAGAGCCAGCAGAGCTTTGAGTTAAAAGCCCTTCTCTCTCAGAAATAATAGAAATAAAATGTGACTTTTTTTCACTAGAGAAAGATAATAAATATGCTTACTGCTAAGCTACTCTGGGAGAGAGAGAGCCCAAGCTAGAGGAATCAGCCAAGGGAAATCTAAAAGAACCTTATTAGCCATCACACTTGTATGTAAGTATGTATGTATGTATGTATGTATATGTATTCCCATGAAGCACAAATTCCAGTTAAAAAATGTAAGCCTAGTCAAAAATACCGTTTCTGCTAGCATTATCTATCCATTTCTTTATCTATCTGTCGATTTCTGCCTGTCGCTTGTCACGAATTGCATTACAAAATCCCACGAAATATTCTTGGAACAATCGAAAGCCATAATAAAATAATAAAAAGTGAGGACACCACACACACACAAGCAGAACGAAGCGATGAAACGATCAAAAGCTCGGTATGATTGGATCCTGTGATAAGAACCAACGTCGTAAAAGATTTGCACATACGAAAAAGTTAAATGCGCCCATAAAAACCAAAGAAAAATAACTAATTATGGTGATACCGCTGCTATAGATACACTTTGGAAATGATGTCTATGAAATATGTTATTGAATTAAGCATAAGTATGTTTCCATCTCCTCAACTTTAAGAATAACATAAACATCCTGATTCGTATTTTTTGTATTTATTTATTGCGAAGCGAACAAGCAGAACAGATCTGGATCGCAAATTCAAAGCATATGAACACAACGTCAGCAAAAATTATATTTTCCCTTTCGAACATTGAATTGTTTTTTGTGAATAAATCAGACTATTATAAATATAATTTCTTTAGTATAGAGAGCGAAATCTCACAAAGGGTCTGAGAGGGTGAGGCACCGCACAGGGTTTTATAAAGAGTATACTCAGAGCAGTAGAGTCTAAGTAGAAGTCAGCCACAACAAAAAGAATAATTGATTGTTTGTTGTATGTTTTGTATTTATTTAATTTCTTATTCGTTTTTCGTTTTTTGCTGGTGTTGGCTAAGTGAACAACGAAATGATGGCGCGTTGGCGACGGCAAAAGGCATTGGCAATTTTGATATTTATTTATTTTTAGTTGATGCGCACATTAAATTGGCAATTTCTGTTGGGGATATCTGATCTGATGTCGATTATACTCGTATATATTTTATATGCTTAAAAATCTCTGTGTAAAAGGCTATCGCCGAGGAGCGTTCCGCGGCTGCTGATGCTCGTTTGGCTCGTGACTTTTAATGCGTTTGCTTTTAATGCATGGAATATTTATGTGGCACGCTGCATGTTTTATGCAACACAACAACAGCAACAACAACAACAACAAACATGGCAATTTTAAGTTGTTCAAGTGCATGGCACCATATAAGGCGCACACACACATTCCCCGCACAGCTCCCCATACACCATTTACATCTCCGTTTGTATGCCCATTCCACAGCTCCAATCCCATTCCCCATCCCCAATCTGTAGCCTCCTCTGAATATCATGGGGAATGCAACGCGTGAGTCGCTTGACATTCTAAGTGGAATACCAGGGAGCGTTAGGGGGACACAAAAGGGGGGTTGCCCGAGAGGAACGTAGATCCAAAGCAGCTGTGTGCCATTTGACCTTGGCATTGGATTTAATTTTATGGTGAAATCAACTGCAGCATAATTTTGAATGTCAAGAGAAAAATAGGGGGTAAATGGGCATAAAATGTACAAAAAATAGACAGAGGAACATAGGCAGAAATTATGGTGGAACAAATCAGAGAGGGAAAGCGTGTGGGCACTATTGAGAGGAACGTGCGCGCGGGGATCCACAGAAGTGGGAAGAATGTTAAGTCTGGGATTATCTTAGGGATTTCTCTGTCACAAGATGGCGACAATATATAAACAGTGGATAAACAGAAACAGAAAAGAATTCGTACCAAAGATTGATCCCCACAAAAAGGTTTCACCCCCACCATGTAAATACCACGAGTGGTGGCAATGGGAGACCTTGACCTTAAAACAGATTTAGTTTTATTTTCACCATCAACACACTGCAGATACAAAAATATGTATTTAGATAAAATTTGTGCTGCCGCAGAGCAAATCGTGCAATGTGCAACGCACGTGTTGGAAACGAGAGACTGCGGAACATAGCAAAACCCAACATCAATATACACCCACGCCAAAATAGATAGAAGACCGCAAAAGAGATAGAAGAAATATCGAGAATGAAATCGAATTGGAAGCAGTTTAAGATACGGCTAAGGGAGAGGGGTACAACCTTGAGGGGTCTGCCAGTAAGAGTGCAATGTAAGAGAAAATGCAGCACAGATATCACTCACACTCTCTTTTCGCACTCACTCCCACTCAAAATGTCTTCAAGCTGCATATTGTAGTGGCCCATCTCTATTTTTCTCAGTGTCTCAGCTGAATTCAAAAAGAGCACGCTCTTGTTTCGCTACATTTTGCGCTCTCTTGCGCTCTTTCAGACACCAAAAACTCGCATGCGATAAATGTAGCCATACTGAGTGTACGTGCAGCTTAGCATTTGT